TGTGGATCTTTTGGTATTGGGCCTCAAGTTTGGATCATAGTTGGAACCCAATTGCTAATTGGGCGTTATTTTGGTATTGATAGCTCGGGAAGTCGTCAGAGCAGCAGCTAGGGATTTCTTTCAGTGAGCTCCAACATTCGAGGTGAGTCTCCTCACTGGGTCTAACGGATCGAAGGCACCAATGCAGACCCATGATTTATATGTTAGGATGCTAGATGTCTGCGTGACTCTTGCATGTGTTGTATGATGATATGCTTACCGGGTGAGGCCCGATACCAGGTGGGGCCTGATAAATATGTTGTATGTTAGTTATTAGTATTTGATTTAATGTTTACCAGGCGAGGCTTGATGTCGGGCGGGGCTCGATGACGGGCGAGGCCCGATGACTGGAACATATACTAGTTGTTTATGATCATTTTATATGTTAGCATGATTATGTGATATTTTGTATGTGTTATGTCGGGCGAGGCCCAATGACAGGCGAGGCCTGAGAATAACAGATTTGTAACCCGAGCGGGGCTCGATGCCGAGCGAGGCTCGATGTCGGACGAGGCCTGAGGCCGAGTGAGACTCGAGATCGGGCAAGGCCCGATGGAGGGTGGGGGCCCAATATGTGATTTATGTATGTGTGGTATGTGGTATCTTGGGGAACTCACTAAGCTTTGTGCTTATAGTTTTCAGTTTATTGTTTCAGGTACTCCAATTTTCAAATGAGAGAGCTCGAGACGATTGCAACGCATACACTTGTGTTTCCCGCAATATGTGATCTTTGGGAATGAACTCTGAATATTTTTTCAATTGAAATGCTTTATAATGTTTGGACAAGTTTTCTTTAGTATTTTGACTATAATAAAAATGAAAATTTTAACTTGGATTTTTGGGATGTTACATTATCGCCAATTATAATTCGGACGCTAGCAGTTTACTGACAAGACATATCGTGAATAGCCTAAATATAACTCCTCGAGACCCTATGAGCTTCCAAGGTCTTCCATATCATCTCAGGAGGGACAATATCATATGCCTTCTTTAAGTCAATGAACACCATGTGTAGATCCATATTTATTTCTTGATATTTCTCCATAAGACGTCTTAGTAAGTGGATCGCCTCAATGGTAGACCTCCCATGCATGAACCAAAATTGATTTTCCAGTATCACTGTTTCCTGCTTGAACCTAGCTTCTAGCACCCTTTTCCTATAACTTAATGGTGTGACTAAGCAGTTTAATTCCTCTATAGTTGCCACAATTTTGTGCGTCATCTTTGTTCTTATAGAGTGTTATAATAATACTAGATATATACTCCTCTAGCATCTTGCCCGACTCTAAAGTTAAAGAGGATCACCAACCAATGTACTCCCTCCTCCCTTAGGCATAACCAAATAACAATAGGAATATGGTCCCAAGGAATGGCTTTATCCCACCCCATTTTCCTTAATGTCTTCTTCACTTCCTCAGTCTCGATCTTCATGTGGGAGGACCTATTGGGTGTCCATCATCACCCAAGAATGCCTTTAACAATCCTATCACTAACTAGCATAGTAATAGTCATTAAATAAAGAAAAAAAGTAATTACCCCATGTCTTTAATATCTTTTTTTAAGTTAAACAAGACCATTGTCATCCTTAATATACCGTCTCTCTCTCTCTCTCTCTCTCTCTCTCTCTCTCTCTCTCTCTCTCTCTCTCTCTCTCTCTCTCTCTCTCTCTCTCTGTGTGTGTGTGTGTGTCTGTGTGTGTGTGTGTGTGTGTGTGGATTTTGAAGCTTGTAGATGCCATTTTCTCATTCTTTTAACTCTTACTCTTGTACATTTCTTCATATGCCAAGTCGTTTTGTTTTAGCCACACTTTTCTTTGCTTCACGCTTGGCCTCTTTGTATATTTAATTTTCCCTTTCTCTATCTTCATCCTCACAACATAATATTGCCTTGACTTTTCCTCGCTCCACCACCATGATTCACTGTGCTCTTTGACCTTCCATGCGACATACCTAGGGTGTTTTTTACCACCTTTCTCGAATATCCACTTTTGCAAAAACCATAAGCAACAATCTGTGTTGCAATGAACAATCATCATCCGAAAACACCTTGCAAACTTGTCATTGAACTTTCAAAAATTTTATGAATAATAAAGATGAATTCCGAATATGATGTTATGATAATGTGAAATGGTATTTCATGTATAGTAGGATGTTTAGAATATTCCCTTCGCAAATTCTTTATATAATACCCTTCTCATCCATTTTGTCACTATCCTTTACCATAGCCCTTTTGAGGTACCTTGGACATAGACAGGAATCAAGACATGTCAATAAGACTACCTAAAAAGATGAAACAATAAGTTCGGATGTGCAAAAGACAATAACATCCTCCACATCCTCATTGTCAAAAATATACTTAAAAAATCCTATCTAGTTCGGTCCAATATAACGTGACACTTAGGCTTTCATAGCAATTCAATCCAGTTCAGTTTAATCCGGTCCAAGCAAGTAACAATGTTCAAACTTCATGATTGCTTACACAAACTCATATTGTTTACAATTTTTATAACTTTACAAACATCTACTACAAATTTAAGGCTCAAGAGTGCAATGAAACAACGATTTTTACAAGGATAAATCATTAATAACATAGTTAAAAAGTTTACACATCAAATTATCCCCTCTCTTCAGCTTCCAATCCAATTGAGGGCCCTGGTTCTACAACAGGTGGAATACAATCCACTTTGTAGCGAAGAGCCTGTTTTTACATATCCAACAACATTAACTACATTATAGATGATAACAATGATAAGGGTATTCATGTCTTTTGAGCACACAAGAGAAAAAATGTTCCATGAAGTCATTTTCAAAAGAATCAAACAAACAACCAACCTTCTTGAAAAAGGTTGAATACGAATTGTCCCATACAAGTGTGTAGTTGCCAGCCATGACTGTGCAGAAATTACCCTGCAAAAAGACATTTCTACCCTATGAATTTACTTTTGGTTTAAATGGAAATTAGAAAACTTGCAGGAAGATGTTTACTTACTTGGTTAGACTCGTATCGCCTGTAGGGCAAGATAAGCTATATGAAAACAAACACACAAAGAATGACTTAATCCAGTAAGTTATATATATATATATATATATATATATATATATATATATATATATATATATATATATATATATATAAAGTGTTTCTTTTCTCCAAAAAATTTTAAACATTATTTATTTAGACATTACATAATGAGAAAAATAAAAAATTATAAAACATCAACTTACTGTTTTCTGTCCAGAAGAACTTGTGTGCTCCACACAAAACCCAATGTCCTGTAACAAGATAGATATACTTTCTACATTATCATATCATATCCACAGAAAGACATTTTTTTCCAACATTTGACCTTTTTCCTTAAAGATTTCTTAGTTTTAAAGAATTTGAGCAACTTGAGAATTTACACAAAAGGTCATTCCACAACTTCCAAAAAAGTTTGGGCCCGTTATGAAAGAAGTGAAAGTACAGGGACTGTTTGCGTAATTTACAAAAAGTCCAAGGATTGTTTTGTAACATCCAAATAAATTCATGATTACCGTGCTTATTTTCCCTTGCAGTATGGAGAAATCCCAAGCAATGTATGAATTTACTGAGTCCACCATCAATGAAACCTAAAAGGAAAGCACACAATAATAATAATAATAATAATAATAATAATATTAATATTAATATTAAGAGTATAATAATAACATTACTCATTGCATATTGGGAAAAGTAAACTACCTCATGAGTTCTTCCAGCAGCAACAGCAGTTTCACTATATCCATCATTTTTACTGCAGAAATCAGATTGAGTTATATATTATATACACATATATGTATATGACTATATGTATAATTGTATATAATTGTATATATGTATATAAAGATTAAAGGGAGATGAATTTACATTCCATCTATTGCACCAGCTTCTTCAGCTGTAAGAAAGAAAGGTGAATTTGCAAAGACCTCCCTGTGAATATAGGCAAATTTACACTTCACTTAAAGATATAATGTTACTATTGATTCATTCATATATATAAAAAAAGGAACTATTTATGATATATAATGAAATATGAGAAAAATCAATACCCAATGAATTTCAGAAATCTTTCCAACTCAGAAACATAGACTTGAACTGCTTCTTCCAAGATGGATATTTGATGCTTTTCACTGCTCAAGAAACCAGAAAAAATATAAAACTAAATGGGACTTTTATCATATTATAAATAAAAAACAAAATGGAAAGAATTTATGATATATGCTCACAGCTTAATATCTTCAAATCGCCACCATGACAATGAAAGAAAAAGGCGAATATTGAGCACCATTTTTGTCAGGGAATACAGAGGGGGCCCATAACGATGTCGTTGCTCCTCCATGGGCCTAGTGTAAAACAAAATGAGGGCATTTACGTCTTTTGCACAAATGAGGATATGAGGGCATTCATGTCTTTTGTTACACATGACAGGACTGGAAACTGGACTACACAAGCTTTCTTTAGGACTATTGAGGGCATTCGATACAAAAAATTGTAATTTTTTTCCAGTTGACTTTGGTCTTTGACCTGGTCAATGCATGGTTGACTATTCTTGGAAGAAAAAAAAATATATATATATATATATACCCTTGATCATCGTTTAATTGTCGGATAAAATCCAGTAAAACCTGCAGCAAGTGAAGTAATTTAGCTCATTATGACACCTAAAAAACCTTAAAAGACTCAAAACTATCTTACAACAACAAAAAAAAAACATAATTTCAAAATCTAGGAAATATAAAATGAAAAAAACATATAAAATATTGATATACCTGTGGCACTCCCACTAGATATTTCACAAGAGTCTTGTATACACCTGTTGCAGATCCAAGCTGAGATAACTGTCTTCTCCTGGATAATAATAAAAAAAGTAATTAGTAATGAAGACATAAAAAACATGGATTATGAAAAAAAAAAAAAGGAATATTATTATTTATTAGTTTATTACCTTTCCATTTGTTGATTCCAAAGAAGGGCATATCGGTCACGTATAGTCCCACCTGAATTTACTAAAGCATCAACTTCTGCTTGCTTATTTCTTTCAGACCTTTCTCTTTGTTGTCTGATTAATGTGCCTCTGAAATCTTGTGGCATGTAGCTCATAACTGCATACATTACACATCAACATATGTTTTCAATTTCAGTATCATATATCTTATCAATCCTTAAACTAACCTGTGTTGAACACATTATTAGAATTTTTTGTTTGGAAGGATTCCACAAGCTCTAATGCAACTTCAAATTTATTGTTTAGTTGTTTAAGAACTTGAGCAAGTTCAATGTCTTCTGGTGTAGACTGTTTTTGAAGCTGCCAATAGCAACAAAAATACAAAAGCTAAAAGGTGAGATGGGATTTGCAAATAAATAAATAAAAGAATTAGTATCTCACAGATTTTGGCCAATGAGAGCTTTGAAGCAAGAAAAGAATTTCTTCAATGTGTTCCCGATTCTTCCACATGTTCTCATCCAGTTTGTGTGGTGGTTGGGACTCTGCTTCTTGAACCAATAATTTTTCCCCTGAAACATATCAATTTATAAGTAATAAAAAGGAAAACTACAACAACATGGAGACATAGTCTAAACCAATAATCTTTCCCCTACATGTTCACTATGCCTCTTGAAAAGAAAGATTCTCAAAGAATGTCTAATCCTTCAATCAAGATTCAAGACAAGAACAAATGAAGTATAAATAGGCATTCGCCCCCACAATAGAAATTTGAATGGTAACTTAGAAATTGTTTCCAGGAACATCATGATCACTCCACGAGTTTGCAGCATAACTTATACAGTAGAAAAGGTGGATTCTTGGTGTCACCAAGAACACCACAACCAATAAGAAGGTCATGTATGATGTATGACAGGCATCCCCCAGGATCATCTATATATCAAACCCATTACACCTATTCAAAAGACGAAATCAAAAGCATTCCCTAAGAAAAACCTAGCAAATAAAGGTACCCAGAAAGGTAATTCGCGGAAATTGGCTCCATTTTCACTAAAGGGGGAATAACAACTACAATAAAGTGATAAACGATTATTACCTTCAGGGAGTGGAGGAGAATCCTTATGGAGATCGTTGGACATGTTGTGAAGCTCGTCGGAAAGACGAGAGACGTCAGACACAATCGGAGAAAATGGATATTTATCGTAGTAAGAGGAAAGAAAAGCCCGGGTTATGGGGACCATGCCATTCGTGGAAGCCATTTACTTGACAAATTGAGGACTAGTGCCTGCAATTGTGATGGATCCGATCGGGGTCTCCCTTTACTGTTGCAGTTGCAATTGATCTTGCTCTTCAAGTGCAGTGGGGATGATGCAGTTCTTCACCGATCGTCTGCGGGATAAATGTTGGAAGTTTCAGGGAGATTGAAGTCCGAAGAAAAGGAAAATTAAATGATACGTTAATCACCTGCGTGTGCGTCTGCAAGGCTGAAGCGGCGGATGTTGACGGCCGGATATATGGGATAATGACCGACCTTGCCCTGACCAACACGACTTTGACGGCGTCTTTGTTTTCTTTTTTACTTTGACCAACACTAATATTCTATTTTCTATGTTTAACTTGTGTTTTTCAATAAGAAAAATACAATTTAATTATGTAAAATATTTTAAACCTAAACATAATAAATAAAATAAAATAAATAAATAACTCTCCCACTTGTTCGTTTTGTTTCATTTATCCGATAAGTAATCTTCTACTAATTCATAAGTTTTTTCCGAAAAAAAAAAAAAAAAAAACTTCTCACATGTTACAAAAAATTTACATTATGTTATAGGGTTCAAAAGGCATTTAAAAATCCGAAGGTGGTAATTAGGTGATAAATTTTTAATTAATAAGTAGAGATAATGACTTAAAAGAGTAATGTATTTTTTGTTTTGTATATATTTTGTCCCTGATATTTTACCCCCATATTTACGCATTAAACTTGTTTTTTGTCCATAGTTTACCCTTATGACCAGTTGGTGTGGATTTAGCCGGTTTCCAACGGTCTTTGCATCTCCAGCCGGTCATGTTCTCCGACGAGTCTTTGATCATCTTCTCCAGCAAATAATGTTTTTTCAGACGATCTTCTTCGGTAATCTTCTTTCCCTTTATTTTCTATTATTCAAAGCTCGATTTCTTGTATGAACTCGATTTCAGATTCAAGTTCATGTGTGTGTTCTTGAACAGAAATGGAAATGAGTTATGGAGATAAGAGTGTTCGTATGTATTGTTCCAAAATCGACTTTAGAAAAGAAAGAAGAGAGAAGTGTATGTGTGTTGTTCCAAAATCGAGCATGAGTACACACACATATCTGATAATCGCTCTAAAAACCCAGAAATCGATACACATACATACAAACACTTATGGAGATCGTTTGATTTCTGGGAAGAAAATGAACACGATGAAGATCTACAAACCTTGAAAGAGCATTTTGTTAGCCTATATGTTATTAGCCCACATGTTTATGAGCCCTTTAGGCTTTAGCCCATTAGGGTTTTGTCTTAGCTGGTATTTATTCTCCCATTTCTTCTTTGTAGTCTTTATGTTTTTCATTGAGAACCTTGTAATTTCTCTCTTTCAATAATCATATGACAATATTATCATGGTATCAGAGCGGAGGTTTGATACGCTGTTAGAAGGTTTTGTAGCAGTCATCTGTGGCGCAGATCGAACTTCGCGGTGAGTTCGCTTGACGGTTATGGGGGGCAGCGCGCCCTCGTCCGGGGTTTGTTGGTATTCGTTATTGTAGCCATCTCATCTTTCAATATGTTTGATGCTTCTTCGTTGATGATGTTCGTTTGTTTGTTGGTATTCGTTTGTTGTTGTTAGTTTGTTGTTGTTGTTCGATCTCTTGCTATTCGATCTCTTGTTGTTCGATTGGTTGCTTCCGCTGGTTTGTTGCTCTTTTCATTCTCAGATTGCTTATCTATTGTTGTGGTTATTTATCCGTTTCCAACATGACTGGAAAGGATGATTCCCTTTAGTCAATTAGTACTCGACTATATGGAAGGAATTATACGTATTGGGGTTATGTTATGAAGAAATTCCTTCGTGGGAAGAATATGTGGGGCTATGTCATTGGGACTAAAGTCAAACCATCAGTGCCTTAAGCTGAGAATTTCGATTTGTTGGTTGATTCTTGGGAGACTGATAACTCCAAGGTCATTACTTGGATTAACAATTATGTTACTCAGTCTATTGGTATGCAGTTGGCTAAATATGACACAACAAAAGAAGTTTGGAATCACTTGGAGAAACGGTATACTCAGTCCAAATTTGCTAAACAGTATCAATTAGAATATGATATTCGTGCCCTTCAACAAAATGACCAGAGTATTCAAGATTTCTATGCTGCTATGTCTGATTTGTGGGATCAATTGGCCCTTACCACATCTAAAGAGTTAAAATATTTTGAGCCTTATATTGCTAGGAGGGAAGAACAACGTTTGGTCCAGTTTTTTATGGCCTTGCATTCTGATTTTGAAGGCCTATGTGGAACGATTCTTCATCGCCCCCCCTTCCCTCAGTGGATTCTGTTGTTCATGAGCTGATTGTTGAAGAGACTCGTATCAAGTCTCACACGGATAAAGGGTTTAAGGCAACCTCCATTCCTACTTCCACACCTGCTGTGCTTGCTGTTTCCTCTAATCAGTCTCGACAAACTCCAAGGGATGCTTATGATGAGTGTGCATTCTTCAAACAGAAAAATCATTGGAAAGCTCAGTGTCCATTGTTAGTTAACAAGGGTAAATCTGGTCAGCCTTAGTCGGGACAACATAATAGGTCTAGTCAACAGAAGTTTCAGTCACGTTCCTCTGATACTCCTTCATGAACACCTCGTCCTCCACAGTTTACTCCTGCTGCTGAACCACTAGTTGACATAGAATCTGTTGGAAACATGCCACCATCTGTATTGGATACCATGGTTTTTGAGAGTTTCAGACTATATTTGGCCTTTAATCCCACTGCCATGTCTGCATCTATGTCTCATTCTGGTCCTACTTCATCCGGTACCTCAGGTATTCCCACATCTTTGTGGATTTTAGATTCTGGTGCAACCCATCACATGACTCCTCATTTTTTACCGTTTACTTCCTTGTCACATGTGTTATCTATCTCTCTTTATGTCTGCTAGTGATACATCTATGCTAGTCAAGGGTGTTGGGTATGTCTCTATTTCTCATATCACTCTCCCTGATGTTTATTACATTCCTAAACTTACTTTGAATCTTGATTTAGTCAATTAGCTGTGTAAATATGGTAATTGGGTGTTCTTTTCTGATTATGTCTATGTTATACAGGATCAACACACCCAAAAGGTGATTGAGATCGGCCGTAGGATGGGGGAACTGTATGTTTTGGAGGTTCTCAAAGTATCTGTTGTTGTTGCCTCCAACATTGATTTGTCTTCTTTTTGTTTGAGTCCTTTGTCGTCTGAGTTTTATCTTTAACATTCTCGTTTGGGACATGTGTTTGTATCACGTTTGAGTTTTCTAGCATCTAGTGGTGTTTTGGGTCATTTGAACACTTGTGATATTTCTGATTGTAGTGGTTGTAAACTTGCAAAATTCTCTGCTTTACCTTTCAGTAAAAGTATGTCTTGTTCTACTGCTCCTTTTGATATTATTCATTCTGCTGTGTGGGGTCCTGCACCAGTATCCACAAAGGGTAGGTCAACCTATTATGTATCTTTTATAGATGATTATACTTGATATACCTAGGTTTATCTTATGAAAGCATATCTGATTTCCTTGACATTTACAACAATTTTAGAGCTCTTGTTAAAACTCAACATTCGACTATGATCAAGTGCTTCAGGTGTGACTTAGGGGGTGAATATACCTCTAATGATTTTACAGAGTTACTTGCTTCTGATGGTACCATACATCAGTCATTGTGTACTGACACTCCTCGGAAAAACGGTGTGGCAGAACGAAAACACCGTCATATAGTTGAGATAGCTCGCTTATTACTCCCGTCTGCACAAGTCCCTAGTGCCTTTTGGGGAGAAGCATTCTTAACTAGTTTTTATGTGATTAACCGTATCCATACTTCATTGAATTCAAGAATGTCTCATTTTGAGAAGCTATATGGTCACCTACCAGACTACTCCATCTTACGAGTTTTCGGATGTACTTGTTTTGTTCTTCGTCCTCATGTTAAGAGGAACAAGTTGGGGCCGAAATCTGCTATTTGTGTACTTTTGGGGTATGGTGTTGGGTAGAAAGGATACCGTCGCTAACTCGCTATGATCCTGTGATTCATAAGTTATATGTTTCCCGACATGTCACTTTTTTGGAACATATTCATTTCTACTAAATTCCTGCTACAGCCCACAATGTAACGAAGTCAGACCTTCTGCATATTGATCCTTTCGACGAGGAGATAGAGGCTTGAGGCCCATCTATGCCACCTGATCCTTCAACTCATGACACACCCACTTCTTCAGAGAGTTCCTCGACTCCTCCTGCTCCTGAGTCTACTCCTTCGACTGTTGAAATTGAAGATCCACCTCCACCACCACCCTCAGGAGGTCTACTCGTCCTATCAGGTCCACCAAGCTTCCAGATTTTGCTTACTCTACATATTTAGGACCATTTGCTTCATTTATAGTGAACATCCATCATTTGTCTGAACATGAATCGTATAGAGAAGCTGTATTAGATCCTCTTTGGCAGAATGCTATGGCTGAGGAACTCACTGCTCTTCATCAGACTCATACATGGGATTTGGTTTCCCTTCCTCCTGGGAAACATATGATTGGTTTTCGTTGGGTATACAAGATAAAAACAAAAGTTGATGGGTCTGTTGAGCGTACAAGGCCAGACTTTGTGACAACCCGAAACTTTGTCCATTTCCGTTACGCGATTTCCGTTAATAAAATTTCAAATTCATTAACTTTTCCGTCAAACTTCTTGGTTTAGAAAATAATCTAGTTATATATAATTAAATTATTTACAAGTCGGAACCAAAAATCGCGCAGGAACCCGAATATCTCGAAAAACCAAAACAATTTCGTCCTAAGTGAGGTTACAACCGTAAACTCGTTTACGGCCCCCCACCGACCACAAGACCCCTATAAATACGAGACCTCCACCTTCATTTGAACATTTCTGGCCAAAAAAAACTCTCTCCTTCTCTCTCTAAAAACCTTGACCGTAAACACCTAAAAACACCTTCAAACTTCGGGAAACATCGAGAAACACCGTTTGGAATCACTTCGGAACGCCTGGAAAAGCTTATCTCTTCGAAAATCAACACCAGTGTTCTTGAGTTTGTGGTCCATCTTCAAAGACCGTAAACTCTGTTCTTGAGTTTACGGCCGTAAACTCACCGAGCCTTTAGAAACCGTAAACCCTTGTTCACGGCCGTAAACCCTGTTCACGGCCGTAAACTGTCTTTCGGCCGTAAACACCTTTTAAGTGGTGCTTTTGGCTGAAAACCCACTTTCATCGATTCGATCAAGTCCCGGTAACATTCCTCAACCGAATACAAGTGTTCCTCTAACACTTTATCTAACGAAATCGCTAATTTAGATACATATATGTATTTATTTGATAATAGGATTTCGTTAAGTGTCACGTGCAACAACTCGAGGATCTTCATTTCAGTCAACGCTTTCACGCAACAACTGTGAGTTCATACCCCTACATTTTCCGTATTTTTAATGTTTTCAGGGGGGGATACAAGCTAAACATAAATGTTTTCAAAACTTATGCAAATCTCATACTTTAACCCTTTTGTACTATGCTGAGCATAAGGGACGTTTTCACTAAAATTGCATAGTTTTCCGGACACGTTATTCACTATACATGCAAACTATAACCGGTATAGTTTGGGATTTTTCTAAAACATATCAAGTATAGAAACTTTCACTACTAACATATGCACTAAGACAGAAACCGTTTACAGTTTACATCACTACTTTATCATGGTATTCATAACTGTAATTATCACTACATACTGTATACATACGGATTTTCACTACGGTAGAACGCTACTACACTACATGTAAACTAGATTGTACGATACTGTGAGGCGCTACTTCACT